TTATTTTTTACGTACAAAATAATCATGTAAGTATAATAGCGAAGGAAATGCATTCGATTGCTCAACTAAGTCTGTGTTTCTCGATCTTTTCCACGTGATATATCGAAACTGATAGCAATTATTTGCTTTTACATTACGAGGTAGACTGAATATGTAATATTTTTTGGATACAGACTAAATGTTATCCTAATTAACCCTCCTTAAACGCTTGATCGAATGTATAATATAATTCCGTATCCCATGCCACACCAAATCACTTTTTTATTGCTAAGTTATGTGTAATGTTCATACAACAGGGTGTTCACGAAAGCTCTGAATAGCAACTTACAATAAGCACCCTCTGTTATGTCGTGCAAGATGCAGTTATCACAACTCGTGCTGTCAGACCAAACGCCGAGCATTATTTTACGCAAGTTTACCAACATCAAAACAAGAAAGACGTTCAGAAATTAAAAATGTCGTTTCGTGAACACACTGTGTTTTTAATTATTTGTTTTCTTTTGATTTTCTTTTGTATGTTTTTAAAACAACAGTGACTGGAACGAATAATTCATTTCTAGAAGATCAGAAACTGAGGCCGAACAGGGGTGAACAGTAATGTGGCTACGCTAACCTGTTCGGAGAGCCTTTAATGGCTCTACGGTTGTGCATCCTTGAATCAAATCGGCGGTAGGACGACGGTCGCCACAATATGCAGAGGATCATTAACTGACGCAAACAAATTATTAGACCAACCGCACGTTAGGGACGGCCTGAAGCATCGAGCGATGTTCCGATGTGTGGAAACTGATGGAGCATTGCGGTCACGCGTATTCAAATGAGTGATCGTCCTCCCCAGCCTCATAACCGTAGCGGTGAATCCATCATTAAAACCGCGAATGTTACAATCATCAAGTACGTGACGGATTCAGGACGCACAGCGATAAAAACTATTTGGGACACGAACTCAAAAGCATTGCTTTCGATATTGTTCTCGTTATATGAAAGATGGAACAACAGAATTTTATAAATGCTTTACTCTAAGAACATAAAACGCATAATGCTAACAAGATGATAGTTACCCAGCTGCTCAGTAAATTCCTTGATTTTATAAAGCCCCAAAGAAAGAATACTGGCACTATTTTATTTTACTATCCACAAAACGAATGAATTCCATTCTTTAGGATATTTCTTTAGATGTTTATAGTTCCTGATCAGTTACACTACTAAATGAACTGAACTATATATCTCGTGCGTAACGTGGAAAATGTTGAAGTACTTTCATCTTATTCTTTTTTGAATACTCTGTACTGCAGTCAGGATGACTAGCTCTCTAAATTAAATTCAGCGAAGAATTAAGTTACGCGATATTTTCATGTCATCTACCCATTCTAAGACCGTATTATAGCTAAGTAAGTCAAACATCGGCTTTGTAGGATGGAGGCCCAGTTTCAGTCCTAGGGCAGTCAGTGTGATACTGCGTTATTTTTTTTAAATAACACAGTCGTCGTCATTAGTCCATACTCATCTGTTAAAGCTCCTAATATGTGCGACAGGCCTGACCAGCCAGCATATCATTACAGTCTCAGATCTTAGTGGGTCTTGAGTTCTAACCTGTAGTCGTCTAGTAAAAGAAGTTAGCTTGGAGGTATACGCCCTGGATACTACATTTAATAATCGGACCAGAAACTGAACGCTGTGTTTAAAGAGGTAGAACACCCATTTGCCATCTTCCGCTGCAATTATAGCCATTGTGGTTCTGACGTCACGTGAAATGGATTCGTTCGACTGGCTAGTCTGTGTGCAGACATTAGGCCTAATGGGGGATAAATACATTTTGCCTACCTGTCAGGGACAGAACTGTTCTGAATTGTACAGCAGAAACACTTCTCTCGGTTTTCGTCGTCAGTAGCGGATTGGTTGAGAAATCGTCCCATGGTATTTCAGTCAGGGTAACTGATAATAAAATTATGCATGAAATACTTAGACATTTTGCTCTGAATCAATTTTACAGTAAATATTCTAATACCAATGGGGAAACATTTACATTTTCTTTCTGAGCTGATTCATTTTCATAGTTTTATTTACAGTGAGTCAAATTAATTAGCCCTTGAAGCCTAGTGTAAATAATTCTGCACACGGTATATTTATTTTTTTGTCATTCTCAGAATAAGCAGATTGTACATACAGGTAAAATTTTGCCTTTAAAGAGATAAAATATATTTTTAAATGTTGGGATAAACTGATGTGGTAATTATCTGCTTGACATATAATAGTTATAAGTATTGGATAATAGGATAATAGCTCTATTAGAGGCGGTTTTATCAGAGTTGTGTACCGATAAAACATGTTAGACAGACAGTCTTCAGTATATAAAACTCAACTCAATAAATTATTTATTCGTTGAAATGTGGCATATGAATTTTTTTCTCTTACCTACTGTCACATGTTTCGTAACATAACAGATGAATCATAACCAGATGTATTGATCAGCGTCATGACCATGAAAGAGTCAAATGAAGCATAATTTGAATCTTTTGTACTGTATTCGATATAAACTTGCCGTTGCATGATATATCATGATTATAACGTGTTACATTCTTCAGTACCCATTAGACTGTGATCGAATGAAACTTTGCCCATTTACCAGCCCGTCTCCCCAGTCCAACCCTGATGTAAGTCCACTTCTTTCTCCCCTATAAGCTGGCAGTATCTGCTGAGGTAACTCGGCATTTGGTAGTGACGTCCCGAGAGACATGTTCGTCAAACCTCCCGCGGAGTCCATTTTATGTAATTACTGAACTCGGTGCGGTAAAACAGTATTTATAATGCTCGACGGACGGACAGTCAAACCAGCAGAACGTCTGTTTGTTCACGCTCTTCAGCTACAGGATCAAAATAATTGAATACTAATGGTTAATGCTCTAACTTCGGTGTAGGCCTAGTGTACTCCATAAGAAGTTCAAAATTCAGGCATATTTGACCTGATTCACAATTGTCGATGTTTGGCTGTTTTTAATTAGGATAGGTTTAATATTACACAATAATAATTAAATTCTTTGTTATTGTTTGTGCTGTATCAGCAGCCAGAAGGCCAATTGTAGATACAGCACAGACGACGAGCACACAAACACATTAATAAATATAAAAAGGTAGGAATAAAAATTACGTGAGTGCATGGTACATTAATACACAAAGGTAAATTTCTGCTGAATACATAAGTATTTTAGTAATAATAATTTAATTAAATTAAGTAAGTTAGATTATTGTAGAATGCAATTGAGGGAAGCAATTCTTGTTTCAAACATGATGAGTAGATGAGCGACAGGTAGCTTCTCAAGAAATAAATCTTCAGTGGGATTAGCTAATGATTTGGGACCGTCACCGTGTATCTAAGACAGACTTATGAAATACTTAATACTTTCAAAATTGATGCGTAAGAAACAGCTTATAAGTGATCTGACACAGCCAGCCGAAGTTACTAAGAATACATAATGAAATAATAATTTTATTGATTTAGTAACTTTGTACATTAAACTTAATTAATAAAGTTAGTCACTTTCATAACAAATATGGCTAAAACTTTAATATCAAATGAACTTTATCGCAGACTCAGGCTATCTTTTGTCTTGAGCAGTTTTGAAGTCTACTTTACAAAGTAAGATTTTGAACCCAAAGTGTTTACTTCTGTTTTCAGAACATAATCTGTGAGCACATTGCAGCTTTTGCAACTTTAAGAGGGTTGAAGTAATTAATGTCGTCTTATATACAAAGTTTAAATTGTGGGTACGTGTGTTCGCTTATAGTTTGAGAAAGGATAAACCGATTTGAACCAAACTTGGCAAGTTTATTCCTTGAGGCCAGAAAGAGAATTACTACTTTAGATTTCGCGTCATTTTTGACGGGAAAATTTCTATTTATATATAACAAAATGTTGGTCTAGTGAATTGCAGACTACGATAATAGGATATGGCAATTTTAAGACAATTTGCCGAATATACACTGACAAAATAGACAAAGTAACGGATCGAACTCGGGACTTTTTGAGTAGTTTGACACGTTTTTATAGTAGGTGTTCAATTATACATTAATTTTGTTCTTAGTATGTAAGACTTACCTTTGTTATGTTTTATAACATTTTCATGTTTTCATTGCAGGTTATTACATAGTTCGTCGCTATGTATTTATGACCTTATAATATGGGTTTCGTATTATCGACACAGATTTGAATTATATAATCTTACTTCTACAAAAACACTCATATCTAAAAACGTATTTAACTGTTTACGTTTATATAAAAACTGTCTATTGTAAATAATATTTTCAGTGTGATGATGACATTATTTGAAACATTTATTTCATATATGTTTGGTTTATCATAAGAAAGTAAAATAGGGTTCTCTGTCTGCTTTCCAAACCACCATTGGCTTCTTTCGGTTCCAAACGCTGTAAATAATATTGAAAATAAAAATGACTGAAAATAATTATCTGTCAATGTAATGACAGAATGCAATCAAATTACCAATCAATCAACCAATCAATCACTTATTAAGTTGAGTTCTCTATACAAACGTATGTCCACCTAACACCAGTTTTTTTCGGTCTACAACTCTATTGTAACTATTTCTAGCAGAGCTTTTGTTCTCTTGTTATATAAATATTCATTATTATAAATATACATCTACTCCCCCTTCCCTAATTTCAATATAATATTACTGAATTTAATATCCGCTTTACGTATAATGTTCCAGGCTACATATATTTTCTTATATTTCTTATTTTTGAACATAAGTACAATTTATTATCCTCTCTTAAGCTGTCTTTTCAATAATAAAAACGATCTTTTATTAAAGAAAATTTCCCTCCGCGTTCTCTTTCGCGAACATTTCAATGATATATTTAAAGCTTAAAATTACCGGAGATGGTAGCAGGTTGATTCTCGAGCCATGTGCAGGGTTCGACGTAATGACCCTGGGGTTCAGTTTGATGTGACGATGCCTTTTGTGTTTGGTGTGTCGCAGCTGTTCAGAACGAGCGCCAACCCCGGAACACAGCCACGATCAGACCCGAAGCGCTACTCGAAATGGACCAGGAAAGGGCGTTACGAGAAGCCGCAGTAGCTGTTGGTGTTTTTGGGTACGTATTTTTCGCCTTTACTTAAAAAAATAATCGTATAAAAAAAGTTGATTTTCCGTAAATTGGTATTCTACGATGATTTATATCGAACTGCTCCGAAACGTGTAAGTGACGAAGTTGCAAAAGCGTACGTTTTCCGAAAAAATACAGTGTGTTCCATTTCCGTCTTGGTTTAAAAGTTGGCCGTTTTCTAAGCGGTTCGCCACTAAGCATCTGTACGAATTCCTTGCCCAATTCTATCCACATGCCCAACCCATTACAATCTCCTTGATTTCACAGATAGGGAAGTCTGATAACATACCGCTGAAATAATCGTACTTTGCTATTCTCGTACTAGCTTAATTTTGTTTTTTATTAATGTACAATAATTACATTAGCAATCTTACAAACTAAACTATTTCAGCGGTATGTTATCAGACTTCCCTATCTGTGAAATCAAGGAGATTGTAATGGGTTGGGCATGTGGATAGAATTGGGCAAGGAATTCGTACAGATGCTTAGTGGCGAACCGCTTAGAAAACGGCCAACTTTTAAACCAAGACGGAAATGGGACAATAACATTAAGATGGTTTTAAAGAGAAATTGAGTTGGCTCAAAATAGCGCCCAGTGGCGGGCTTTGTTATTAGCAGCGTTGAACCTTCAAGTTTCTTCAACAGAGATTTAGTTAATTTTTGTAGTTTATATAAAATTTTTAATACAATTTGAGAAATTTGCTAATTCTAAAAGAAGTCATAATCGTGTATTTCACATCCAACAGTACCAACAGAACATAATTATCTAACTAGCTTCTTCATAAGCCATAAGATTAACCTGGATACAATTGTGAGAACGAAACTAAATTGCAATTTGAATTTTTTGGACGCAATATGGGATAGTAACATTGATTTAAGCAGATAAATCACCTCCAAATGAAGGGCCATCATTTCACATTCCACCTCTTCAGCAAGTCACAGCCCACCAATAATAGCAACTACCTAAATAATCCTTTTACCAGAACATGGAACTTTATACCACATAAACCAACAACTTTTGATGGGTTTTTGCTAAACAACAGACAACCAATAATAACAGCGAATCAAACAATAATAAAGCTATTGGATATACACGCCTCTGCAAAGGTTATTTTGCTCATTAAAAGAAATAACTTAACAATGCATTCTCGTTTTGCATTACGTCATGATTCTACATTAATTTAAATGATAACGCTTCACATAACATGTTGTAAATACCATTTATTTTAATGGTTTATCTTTTAATTTACAGCGGAATTAACAATTTCGAAGACATGTTATACTCTGTGATATTATTATAGACCTAACCCAAAACTGTACAATTCAATTAATTATAGTGTATAAATTTTGGATTAATCTAATGCAATTCAAACGTAGTGTCATATTTAACTGTGATTGATTATTGGGGACAGACCAATGAGTCGTCATTAGCGATTTAAATGGTTGGAATTTTGGACATCAAACCGTGACGTAAAACTACATAATTCAGCATTATAATGGATTAATAAACTGTATTAAAATCCACGCACGTACCCTGTGATATCATATACAACAAAGCATTTCTAGTAGGACTGCAGCCATTCATCATTATTTAGGACTGACAGATTTTCAATTTTAAAATGTAGGCAACAGACCCCTGTGCGGCGTGGGCAGAACTACAGTACCTGAAAATACAAAATCTCTAAAACAAAACACACAAATGGACATTATTCTGAACCACTTAAGTCTATTCATTTTCCCATAATTTACAGACTCATAACTTCTCTAGCTTTAAACTGATTGTTCCAACCAAAATTACGAATGTGTTTCTTGTTTCCTACAAACAAGCTACATGAAGATTACTCTTTGCATGCTACGCTAGATATCTCATATAAAATATTGCCTCTTTCATTTTGAATTTATTTCATATTTATCAAGAACAATGTTTTCCGCCGACTCTTAATAGGAAAAAGTTAATTTTTATGGCTATTTAACGATAAAAATTATTCATCGTTTGAATACATTTTCATTTCGTGTTTTAAATGTCACGGGTTCAAATTTAGTCCCAAAACCGGTTGTCCTAAAATTTATCTTGGATTTACTCAGTCCCTCCAGGCACAAAACTTCGTCTATTTTTTTGTAATTAATTATTCATTAACCGTCCTGGAATTTAACTTCTGGTTATATATAATCTGATACGTTGAACGTATCGTTGAATATGCCTACACAAAAAATAATTTAAAATTGTAATTGAAATTGGTTAGAAAAAGATCTATTTAGCCTAAGTATAATTTTGCATGCAAAGAATGAGAGGATTTTAGTTGTCATTATTATTATTATATTTAAAATTATAACTGTAGACCAATTCGAGAATCGATCCCAGGACTTCGAAGATTCAAATCAGGACTACTGAGAGCAAAACTCTCGCTTTTAATGTCATTTCCTTGTGCTGGAATCAGCAGATGATCTTTGCTGTGTCGTCGCTGAACTACATTGGACTGCAGAGTGTAACTGGTGTGTAACGATGTTTTCTCACCCGACTGAGAGCCATCTTTGACACATAACACGTGTGTCAACAGACCCGCAATGCTGTTAGGTCGTGCGTTCACATATTCATACGCGCCAGTTGTTATTTGAAGCTCATGTTTTCCACCTGACGTGCCAAGTCTCTCTTTGTACCCAAGGGAACTCTTGAAGCTGTTCTACGCAGCTGGATCAAAGTTTTCCTCTCTCCATACATATTTATACGGTGTTGCTTCTGTTCTGACCAACTGAATCAATAATTGACGCCATCACCTGAATCTACCATAAATTAACGGGATAAACAGTTTCATTCTCTATAAGTGTTTAATTTTGTGGAAACAAAAGCATACAGCGTCCCACAATTCTTACCAGAAGGTCATTGGTATCTCTGCGGTTATTTTAGGTTACGATGGAGATCGAAAATCTGACGACTCACATTAGAGGCGTTCTTTGCACAGAGCGTTTAAAATAAATACATGATAGGGAGGTCCCTTTTTTCAAACCGTTTGCTTTATCTTCAAAACTACTGAACCGATTTCGATAAAATTTGGTTTTGTGTGTCTATATTGAAATTTTTGAACAAATTTAAATTTTATTGTTTTGAATCTGTGTTCATCATGTTAATATAGTTTTGTAGCATTGCGTTCACTATTAACAGAGCTTGCTGAATTAAAAACAGAATCAGATGAAAAACACTAACGTAACGCTTAGCGGAATTTTATTACGTTTTAATTTAATTTCTCTTCAGCTTTTGAATTCCGTTTCTGTCCACATAATAGCGCACATTCCTCACTTCATAACAGAAAATATACCTGTGGTATACTGCGCATCTCCCATAATAACTCTTGAACTGACTGACGGATTTTCATTAAAATATTTATCATGTCAATATAAATCACTCTACAGTTCCGCTTTCCCCTTTCCTATCAGTTTGTTTAAGAGCCGGGGTAGCTTAGTCAGTTCAATTCGTAGTCAGTCATTGACTACGGATTGGACGACCGCGGTTAGATCCCTGGCAGGGGCAGAGAATTTTTCCTCTAGCCTCTACGTTCAGACCGGCTCTGGGGCCCACACAGCCTCCTATCCAATGGGTACCGGGGTCGTTTCCCGGCGGTAAAGGGCGCCCACTCGCTTTCATCTAGCGCCGAAGTTAAGAATGAATAGGCGCTATACTTTCTCCCCCCCAAGCGCCTATATGGCGTGTAGCGGGACGGCTCTTATCAGTTTGTTTAATTTACAAATTTTACCAAATATTATTGACATAAATCAAGGAGGATTAGATAGGAGGGAAATTTAGCTCGCATAGGTAAATGAGAAATGCATATCAAGTTTTAGGTTGAAGCCCCGAAAGGAAACGTCAACTTGTGAAACTTAGGCATAGATAGGTTGGCATCTATTAAAACAGGTGTTATAGATATAGGGTTTCAGGTCGCGGACTGAATTAATCTGGTTTAGGATAGCATCACAAACGAGTTCCATTACAATCGGAGAATCTCTTGGGCAATCATTCAATCTATTCTGCGAAGTTATCAGTGCCTTGCATGTATTGTTATAACTGTTGTTGCTGTTAATACAGTTTGTTCTTTCTAGGTATTTCACTAACTAACTAACAAACTAACTGCATGAAGCAGAGTTCTTCTTGAGAAGCTAATAGAGTACTTTCAGCAAGTATGGAACCATCGTGTTCACAACATCCAACCACTGGACCCTTGCCTGAGCCACCTTAATCCAGTCCACGCCGTTGATTACTATTTCTTTAATAACCACTTCAATACTATCCTTCCATGTACGCCCAGGTCTTCCCAGTGGTCTACTCCTGCCAGGTTTCCCAACGAAAATTTTGTGTGCATTTCTAACGTCCTCCATGCGTGCTATATTCCCTCCTCATCTCTTTCTCCTTTGTTTTATTATCTTAGTAATATCTAGTTCATAGTAAAAATCAAGAAGGTCCTCATCATGTAATTTACTTTAACCTGTTGGCACTTTATTCTCGTTAGGTATCCTCAGAGCCCTGTTCTCAAACACCCTCTATCGGTGTACTACGTAAGCAAACTCGCCAATCTGTGCTTTGTATGCCATGAGTACTACGTAATCAAATATGGACCAAAAATACAACTTTTCCTTTCATAAAGACTTTTCACAGAGGTATTAACTAAAAATAGCGAATGTCTGCTTCTGTGAGGACCAAAGTTCAAACTGCACCCAAAGCGATGGGCATGTGATCTGATCGGACTGCTGTGTTCTCTCACGTGAAACATGGCAGCCGTTCTGACGTCAATGCGGTTCCACGACGCTTTATCTGTTCCCTTCTTTTTTTAGATTTTTCTAGTAAAGAATTTGTAATAGAAGCATAAACTGACATAGCAGGACACGTTTGTGTCCAAATAGTGACTGTAACAAACTATTTATTTCACTTCGTCTATAAATGGGCCTTTCTGTAAAACTTACTTATAACGTAGATTCAAAAAAAGTTTTGAACATTTTTTTGTATCATCAGAACTTCGGTTTCATGCAGATAGACCTACTTTTTCTACTGCACAGTACAGGACCCATAAAACGCGAGTAGAAAAATCAAGGACGAGAGAAGGAATATTTGATGTTTTTCGTAAAAAAAACCCATACCGCTATAAATTTTAATTTTTCCACAGATAGGAAATAATAAGTCTTTAAATGGCGTTGGTATGAAGGTCTTTGTCAACTCAACACAGACGTGTGAGATAGGTTGTCAATCCCTGAAGATGGAGAGAGTATGTTTCTCCGAAACTTCTGTGTTTACTTATTGATCTAAACGTCACATAAACCCAGAACAACAACATCCATAGTTCGCGACTGTAATCTTGAGACTTGTGGGGTAAGGAAGTGGGGTGAAGGAGGAAGGAGGAGAGATAGCGTCTGCCTTTAAAGCTATGGACTTCTTGCATTCCTTGCAAGTCTCAAGATTACAGTCGCGTACTGTACATTGAAGTGTTTGTCGTTGGGATGTGGGAAAAAGATAAGAGTAAAATATAATTCGCGGATTGTTTTTGTTCGTTGCTGCGTGAATGATGGGTCGTTTGTTTCACTCCTACAGTATCGACACGTGTAAGATGCCAACAGCTGCTGATGATAGTGACTCACCTCTCCACTGTAGGTCAGCTGTAGTCAGTTGTTTCTCGACAATTGTGTGTGGAGTTGTCCTTGTGGAAGAAATTTCTCTTGGAAATAATTTTTGTCTGATTGGTGAAATGAAGGGACATTTGTTGACCTCTGACAACGTAGACTTATTTATATACTAGACAGATGTTGGACGATGATCTTTAAAATCACTATTACAGATGAGACGATATATTAAAACATAAGTATTTCTCTTTAACTTTTATTTATTGACTTTTACCTACTTATTTTGTTATTAATCTTCTAATTACAGAAATATCGAATTGGAATCTAATGCGTGTACTTTCTACAAATTTCACCGGAATTCATAATCATACGTTGTAAATATTATTTTCTTTTTTCTCTACTTATTCAGTTGTTACAGGCAAACATAATATAAAATTTAATTTCCACATAATGTTTGAAATTTTCATTCGCTTGTTAGTTTAAAAAGCTGGAAATGATTAAGAATACGACGTTTGTAAAGCTGGCTCTGTTTATTTCTTCAGGTGAAACCAAACAAGCTAGTCATTTGGGTCAATTGGAAAGAACTAATCTGAATCCGTGTCCTGTTATGGTTTCATCCATGGCGGAAACCTTCCGAAACGTCTTATGTTTTAAATTTAAGTTAATAGACGAAGGGAAATATCCAAGAATATGCATAAATTTTATAACAAACCGTCACAAAAATCCATTAGTCTTAACAAAAATTTTATTAAATAAAATATAACTTTTTATTTTTATCGTCTGTCTTTAAGCCCAAACAAGTTTTCTAGCTTTTAAATAACATTACTATATATAACATTTGATGATAATATTGATGTAATTAGCATGCGTGTTCCACAAGTAATGTGCTTGTCTGGTATCAGTTACATGAAGCGTGTGAGAAGGTCTGTAAAGCCTCTAATAAACTCTGCAGTCGACTGTGCTGACAGTTTGTCACGGCTGTTGTAAATTCCCCCTACTGACAACTCCTCGCATCTCATTAGCATTACAACGAACTTTGCGCTAGGATCTGCAACTTGGAGGCTATGCTGTATACTTATGTTCAACAGATGGGCTATCAATAAACGACAGACGCGCAATTATATCCGTGATCTCTTGAGGGAAGTGCTTGATATTTTGTATTTCAAGTCTACCGAAGTGTTAACCTCATTTCTGTTGTCAATCGCCCATTAACGAAACTGCAATGCCCACTTAGAATACAATCTGATCGGGTTCACAGGTGCAGCAAATACAAAAACAGGAAGAAATGGGATAACTTTCAGTGTAGCGAATAGGTTATGGGACTGATGATCGGGTTTACATTCCTGACAGGGCAGGTTCTTTTTTTCTGGGGTCCACCAAGCCTCCTACCCAGTGCTATTCGACGTATGATGGCTGCTGGAGACAGCAAGTACCTCCGAAACGTCGGTAAATTTATGCTAGAAACGACGCTACAACCCAGAATACAGTCATTTTACTACTGGGGTTCTTCTCTCGTGGTTAAAGTGGCCAGAGCATGAGGCAACCGCTCACCTCAGTCTACTGGAGCCTTATCTCCACTCGCACATACGTCTGCATGCCTTGATACTTAATCAGGGTCAACTTTAACTTTACCTTTCAACACACGTAAAGGCAGGATACCGAAAGCAATCGACTGTGTTAGAAAATACGAAGAAACAAATCTTGGTCTTTTTCTGTGACCCTCTGAAGCCGATAAAAGAGAGACAGGAAGAACAGCAGAGGAAAATTCGGGGGGGAGGTTCCCAGGCAATGCCCGCTCTCCTTCTGATAAGGATAATACGTTGGAGTGATAAGTAATGAGAGTTTGATAAGAGAGTCGGAAATTAATTTTCTTGTTGATGAATGTTGAAATTATAATTTTAAATGTTAAATTTCCAAGTACTTACGTATTCATCATTCATAATCATTCACCTATCTCAAGAATGTAGACTTGCAACACTTTGACGGATATTATTGCAAATAATATTCAGTTACATGTGTCTCAGGCTTGATACTGTCAAGACAGTGAAGATGCCTATCGTGTTTTCTTGTGTTAAGTTGCCAACGTTTCGGAAGAAAATACTGCATCCTTCTTCAGGGTAGTATGTTCCTCCGAAACGTCAATAACCACCTACAAGACCACATGGCGTCATGTCCCATTAGACATTTTTGGACTTGGAAGCACATGCAAGAAAAATATAATTGTTCATTGTGTCCTGTTTCTAGCCCTCCAGTTACTCTAGCGATGGGTCTCTCGCCAAGGTATCACACTGGCATGCTGACGTCACCCATAGAACTGCCACCTAAACAGGAAGCGGAAGATGGTAAGTATTATTTATTCTTATCACACACGGCGAGTTTTGCCTGAGAAATTCAAGAACTCTACCGATCAAAGTTCATCTAAAACATTTAACAAGTGCGAAAGACATGCCATACTAAAATTTGAGTTCATCTTTCTTTAATGTGCTATTTTAAATTACATCATTATACTTTATTTTTTATGTATTGATGAAATATTTAAAATGTAACTATTCTTTACGACATTAAACAGAATTGTCATTAGTAATTTAAATAAGACTGGAAGATAAAATTATTATCGAAGTACACAGTTTCCACATACGTTATTTTAACCTCTGCATTCTGAATGTGTCTAGCTGTGTGTGTTTATAGATACGTCGAGAAAACATTTCCACAAAGTCAGTTAACAATCTAGTCTTATGGTAACTGCTCTGATTATAATCATAATTTTTTTTTTAAGTTTTATATTCATTGTATTGTGCATATAAGAGTGGATAGTGAATTCAGTTTAATAATATTTCCTGTGTAATTTACATCCGGTTACAATTATTGACGTTGTCAGCCAAGCAGGACTTGTGAGCTGAGTTGTATAATACGTTGTAATTCATGAGTTGGCGTTCGTGACTCGTGCGCAGATGGTCATACGATCGAATTCCACTCGGTTCAGATATTTTTATTATTGTTCGCCATTTAATATATGTCGCATAACGTTAATTAACATTCTAGAGTAAACCTATTTTTAAACTTTATAAGAACATGTTATATACAGATTCTATCCTCAAAATTTCGCCGTGTTTGTAATTGTTGACGTAAATAGAGTTTGTACTTAATGAGTTTATGTTTATAATTTATCTTCATGAAGAATTTTACAGTGTTTCATTAGTTATCGTAGTTAAACTGACGGCTAAATAAAATGTTCGCACTGCTCCATATTATTTTATATTCTGCATAAAATAACTTAAAGTTACATATTTTTAATTAATTATGGTAGTATTACACATATTTTCAGTATGAACCATATTGAAGTATGATCAAGGACATTTGTTGACCTCAGCAAGGTTTAATTTAGTTGTCTCGTCGATAGCTCGCAGTTTATATCAAAAGCCTCGACGTTGTCAGGGTATTCGATGAGGACGCACTACGTCATACGATCCAGCTTGTGTTTTGCTAAATTTAGTTCTTACAAAGAAGCAACGTTAATAAAGAGAATTACAACTTTTTTATAAGTTCTTTACATTGGCGTGAAATAACCGAATAAGTGGAAGATAGTTTTCACCGCCTGTCTGTCCGTTCTTCTGCATACCTAATTTTTAAAACTACTGAATGAATTTAGATTAAATATGGTACTGAGAGGTCTGCTCTAAATTTCTGCGACGAATTTTATGTTCGTTCGTTTCTGTCAACTTTTGATTAATGCTCTAACTGAAAGCGGAACAGGTGTTTAAATGTACTGATTCTCTTAACGACGCACTTAGGCCTATAAAAATTACTAATTATATTAAAATGTATATGTCATTAAGATTTCATCTGAAAATTTTTACATTTGGTGAATATTTAGCGAAATACAAAAAAATCATCATTTTTTACTCGCTGATAACATATTTGAAATCAAGGCCATTCATACAGAGCAAGAAACTTATGATCCAAGTCGAGTACACCACTGTTGCTATTTAAAATAACACACAGATTAACTCGCAGGCAATTAGCATGGCCGTGCGGACTAATGTACTGGGTTCGAGTCCCACATGAATGTGTGTCCCCCTTTCCATGATGTGCAGTCCTGTGTAGGTAGAGGCCTTACGACAAACCGATTCTCCTTCCAAGGAGCCGTACAAACTGTCGAAAGTATTTATAAAATTTTAAGATTTCAGATTCTCACTGTTTCGAGTATGAAGATGATTGTCTCATGGGAAATTGGTAGAAATTGACCGATGTTTTAGAGGTATTTACTGCCTTCGTGATAAAAATTGTCTAGAATGGTCAAGATTCTTATTGAGCTGTAACGCTTATGCTGTAGTTTTCGTGGCAGAAGAACTCAGAGATAAATAAAATGGAAGTAGTGCTTGTACACGAGTTGTCATGATCGCGGGCGGGATTTCTTCTGCGGATTAGTTTCCCCATCTCTCTCTGGCTTTCAATATTGCTTCTACTTCTGAAGCGGGACCAAATCCGCTTGTAACGTCGGCAGCTTTTATAGGTGAAGCAGGGCGTAGTTCGATTTGATGGTAAAAGGCAGCCCGCGGCATTCGAGATTGAGATATCGCATGGATGTTGTTGTTGTTGTTGTTGTTGTTGCTTGCCTCACACTGCCTAATTCCAAAAAATTACCGAAGTCGTGTTTATAATTTATATTTCTTGCTTTTATTTTCTGATGTTTTATAATCGCGTACGGTCAAATGTTGCTGTGTTGTTGTTAGTATGATTGATCGACTCAGAGCTCATTTAATGATTGTTTCATCATCTCTAATTTATTTACCATAGTCGTCCACGGTTCTTAACCAAGCACCACGCTATGTATGTATGGAGAAGTCGATGGATAGCTCCATGCATTTTTGACCTCGGCACTAGGAGGAAGTGGATGGTCAGCTTCGTGCCCTAGGTAATTCACCCCAAAAGAAGCAACCCCGTTACCCCACTGGACAGATGGTTGGGTGGGCCCCAGAGCTAGTTTGGACGTGCTGGTGAAGAGGCAAATCCTTCCCTGCCTGGAATCAAACCCAGGTCTACCTTAGTCATTATAGAAGACTCCTCTGTAAGTTTATAAAGAGTCTGAGTACAATCACAAACACCCTCAGTCAGTCTACTGTCTCGGGGCCATATTTATATTAATATTTATATATGTAACGACGTTGTTTCATCTGCAGCTGTTACAAATGTAATTTCGAATGAGAGGGGAAATAAAATGCAAATATTGGAAACATTCGGCTGGAGAGACTGAGTAAAACCACAAATAACCTCAGAATAGCTGATTGCTTGGTGAGTTTTTAACTGGTTACCTTCCTAACACATATAGAGATTGTGACCTCTACACGAAACTGCGTGGTACCAAGACTCGAACCCACGACGTGCAATCAAGTCGCGCTGACCAGCAGACTATTTCCCCCTCCCCCCATACGGAGAACTCGTTATGAAGTCCCGGGGGCCGCGGTGAGGGGCTGCGATGCTGGCGTCAGCTCATACGGGTCTCCTGTAGCCCGGTCGTTGATGTGACGTTGAGCTGAGCTGCCACCCGACCGATCGGTTCAACCTGGAGTCACATCGATTACTCGATTCGCGTTCCTTCACACGCAACACAGCAACAAAGAGTGTGTCGCTTCTAATTAACTTCTCTTTCTGACTTGACTTCAGTGGAAAGCTTTAATTTTAACTCTGTAAAATCATGTTTTATAAGCTGTACGTACACGAATCTAGTCAGTTTAAATTATTCGAGAGTTAATGCCAAAACAAAGTTAACCGTTTGCAGCCGAAGCTCGTCTACGTAATAGTTAAGAATCCATTCCGTACCGCGAAGAAAACACAACATTTCACCGTTACGAAGATCAGTTTCTTAATGATGTCTTAGGAAATTATATCTACTGAGAATCGTACAAAATACACAGTTACTGATTGTTAAAATAGGTGGTACATATGGTTACCACTGGGTTTTAAATGGTTAAAATATGTTCGCAAGTATTTGCTTTTTTTGTAAAGACATTTTAGCTTACTTGTCTTGTTTAATAAAGAAAATATACGTTCTACCCGTATGGCTTTATCAAATCCTTATTACTTAATACGTGTGTGCTCGTCCCTTTAAACGAATTTAATTTAAAAGACTGTATTAATATCATGCCATTAGCAATTGCAGATTTGTAGCATATGCAATTCAAACGTAACGGTAATGCAAACTTTCAATGTGGGAGAAATGCTGGATCCATTTAGGTGCAATGTAGAAACCTGACATTTTATTTAGGTTATCCTATAAGAATTTTTTATGCGGTATAAAATTTATTCCTTCAAAATTTGTGTAGTATTCTGTTTAATAGCTGTAACTAGACACTCCTATATTCTTATCCATGGCTAATTATCACAATTCTTAATTTAAATATTATCGACAAGCATGAAAGCGAACTTTTCTAAATTCTATACACGGAGGAATGTTCATGCCCATGCTTTTATATTGATTCTAATGTTGAAATTAAAATAAGAAGAAATGAAATGGCAGAAATGCATTTCTTCAGAACGGCTAAAGGATACAGAATTACAAGAAATAAATGTAATGATTATATTAGAGAAATATGGAGACTGACAAGTAACAAGAGAGGCATATGAGCTATTAAAAGAGATGGCTGGACCATTTGGAAAGAATATCTGAAAACGTAATCCAGGAGCTGCCTTTGACTCGAACGGAAAGAAAAGTCAGGGACGGCTTTAAAAAGATGGATGAAGCAGTTTTATTCCATGTAATCAGAACAGGTAAAGAACTTGATAATGATGATTATGACGATGATGGTGATGATTAATGTATGCACGTATGAAGAGTAGAAAGTGAAATCAATTTTCTTCCCTTGTAGTGTAACAGTTATTTCATTTGACACTTTTGCCCTTTCTACTATGGTCCAAACATCTTCGTCTTGTGTTCTTAGTTCATTTAATAGCGCCTTTTCAACTACGTAGGTTATATAGTGTTGAGGAATAGATTTGAAATATGAATATGGAATTACGTGGAACGAAGCTGTCATGGGCTACTTTAACTGAGAAATCTACGAAAACTTTCAAGCAGAATATTCTACCTTTGAAGTCAGTATCGAACCCTGGACCTTTTTAGTAAGTTTGATAACCACTGCACATTAATTTCTTTCCCCATGATGCGGGGTTTTTATTTAGGTAACAGCGTTTGGTTAAACAGCGCACTATAGTATTCAGATACAAAAGCTCTTCTGACAGTTGAGCATCTCCGCTTTTGTGATTAATATAAACACAAGAAAGAACGGGGAAAGAGGGGAAAAATACGCCAGATTAAAATGACTAATTGGTATCAACTCCCGATGGAACTAAAATTAATTAAGAAAGTGATTTCATTTCACGGTTTGGAAGCCCCTGTCAGGACATAGTAACGTTGAGAGCGAAGTTAACGTTCGGCTCTGAATAAAGTAACTAAGCCTTCTCATACTTGTTCTCAAGTTTTAGAAGCGGAGAGAGAAAAGAAATTAATGTCTAGGTATTTAAACTTTACTCTATCACTTCCTTCTTTAGGCCTGCGCTTTGCTAAAGCTGTTCCCTTTCTTCGTTTAAAGTACTTAGTACTTTACGTAGGCCTTGCGATAAAGGTTAAGTTCTCATCGACCCAAGTACCGCGCCCTAACCCTTTGAAACCGAAGCTTATCAAAATTATACTTAAGAATTCAGTCCATACAGCAAAGAAAACACATCACTTCACCATTTCAACGATCTTCTGGTTAACGATGTTTAAGGAAATGATCGCTGTTTACAGTAAGAATCACACGAAATCCATAAATACAAAATACAGTATTATTTATTGTTAAATCAGGTGGGACACAATTACTTTAAAAGGTTAAAGTGTAGGCCAGTAAGTGGATTGGAAGTGAAGTTTCACGCATACTCAAACCCGATGCTAGGTGGTGATTAGTGATGATTCGCCCTCAGAGAATTTTGTCCCATAATGACAGAGACCCTGATACTTGTTAGATAAGACGTCTGTCTGGGCCACAGAATTAATCTGGTTCGCGGTTACAAATAGAACTGATTTCTATCCCTGCCGTGAACCGTTTCACTGCGATTTTGCATGAGTACAAATTCTACATTTCGCTGATTCGCCGAAATATTCGACTATTTAACGTCTGCTATTTGTGTGTGCTATCTTAAAACGTAAAGATTAAAATATAAAGAAATATAATTTTACCTGTTGTTTTATATGGATGTGAATCTCAGTCTCTTATGTTACTAGAAAATGAAACATTGTCTACGATGCACGAGGTTCTCACGTCGGTGAAGTTGTCGATGTTGGTCTTCTGGGTTGTAAAATCGTTTGGACTTTTAGGAATACAAAAATATTTTTTAGGGCTGAATTAAATAAACGCAACGTTGGTGTTAAATGATAGAATTTACAACGGATATGTAACGTGGACACTGCTTTACGCCTGAAGATGGAGGTAATTTTTCCTTCGAAACATTTATATCAGCTTACAAACTTACACGACGTTACAACCTACTAGACCAACATAACACAGATTGAGGGTACTGAGGAGAATGTTTGTGTTCGAACGGGATAAAGTGACAGAAGGCTGGACAAAACGGCCAAATGATTATCGCCATAATTTGTATTCTTTCCAAATATTATTAGGATGATCAAATTAAGGAGGATAAGATGGACGTGACATGTAGCGCGCATGGGGTAGATAAGAAATGTTTACCGAGTTTTGGTTTGAAAGCCTGAAGGAAAAAGACCACTTGGAAGACCCAGGCAAAGATTGGAGGATAATATTAAAATGCGTATTAGGGATATAACGTTGTTGTGTGTGAATTTGATTGATCTGGTTCAGGATAGAGATTGGTTTAGGTTTCTTATGAACCTTCGGGTGTTTAGAGTGTTGGAAACTTCTTAACTATCTGAGCGTCCTCTCATCTCCTCAAGTTACGTACGAACATACACACACCGCCATCGCGTCTGAATTCTTCTAGACGCCCGATTCGGTTCCGGGTCGAGATCCCGTATTTCAGTACAGTGGTCTTTGAACATTTTTCCTCCAGAGGACAGCATCGACGTTACCAACGAGGAGACCCTCCCCCCGGCACCCCGACCCCTCACCTGCTCTGCACCAACTCCGACGGTGTCATCGCTGGCATCTCAACAGTTTTTTTTTGCCATTTATCAGCCGATCCAAGAGACGGTGTACGAGACATCGGCCCGACTTCTGTTCATGGCCGTCAAATGGGCGAAGAATCTGCCTTCCTTCGCTAGGCTTCCTTTTCGTGATCAGGTATCACACATTATGATCTATGCATTTATTATTATAAGTCGCTTTAATCTAAATAGTATCTTAAGCAAAGATGATTCTGAATTGTGTGTTGGGATATCTGTAAAACGAAGCTGTCACTTGGTACAAAATCTGTTTCATCTTCCTGTTAGCAATTATAAAGGTTAAAATCTTTTAAAGTATTAATTTTTTCTGAGTAAGATTTAGGGTTCCCATGGCGGTGGTTATGAAGATGCCACTCACGACGACTGATTTTGTTGAAGGTAATTAGTGAATAATAGTTTGTGAATCCGCTGATAATAATTAATTTAATTTTAACAAATGTCCATGAAGTTTAGTTAACTGTCCTTGAGGCCGGCGGGTTTATTAGCAAGGTTTAATGTGGCCTCAAGTTTGCAAAATGTTGAGAACCTCTGGTACAGAAACAGAAAACAGTAAATGCACTTCGCTTATTCAAAACCGCCCAGCGCTTTTAAAATTCTGCCGATGCATAAAACAGGTTTTATGTAGACTGTTAAGGGCAATATTACGTTGGCCTTTTCAGGTAATCCTACTGGAGGAAGCGTGGGCCGAACTGTTCTTGCTGAACGCCGTTCAGTGGTGCATGCCGCTAGAGACGAGTCCCCTGTTCTCCGTTTCTGAACACGCTGCTGGTGTGCCGAACGGCAAAGACAGCCAAGTGGCCTCAGACGTTCGCATTCTGAACGACACTCTACTGCGGTTTAAGGCTGTCGGAGTTGATCCGGCGGAGTTCGCCTGCCTTAAAGCAATTGTCCTTTTTCGATCTGGTGAGTTTCCACGCCTGCAGGACGCTTTGAATGTCTTACATAAGATACATGTAGGATTTTGTAGAATAATCTTCTTCAGATTGAACATTTAAAGACCATACATGACGTGAACTGGACTGAACTGGCTAAGGAAAGATTGACTATGAGAACATGATAAGAGCGAACAAAATGTAGGGGGCTAAGGAGGGAAAACCTCTTCAAATCTACCATTTTTGAGACAAACAATGAAATGAGAGCCAAGTATTGAAATTAACGCATGCTTATCTAGAACAGGGTCCTTGGGGGATCTGATAGTCGCTTGGCAACAAAAGTATGTCTGCATTTTATGGAACCCCAAAGTTTATTACAATGTTCACAATAACCCACCACCGGTCCATGACCTAAGCTAAATAAATCCAATACACATCCTCCAACCCTTTTATTTAAGACCCATCTTAATATTATATTTGCATATGTTCCCAGATCTTTCAAATTGTATTTTCAATTTAGTCTTTCAATCCAAATATTTTACGCATTTATCATCTGTCCCATGCCTGCTACATGCATCGTCCATTGTAATTAATTAGGTCGTGTTTGAAATAAATTGTGAGGGTGTGAATTAGGTTTAAGCCGAAAATGGATGGTTTAGGTATTAGCCATGTTAACGCTTTCTGTTCTATTAGTTAGGACGCCTAATTACTTTATTTAGCGAAAGTAACACAGAAAGTGCTTTTCCGGTTTGTGTTGCAGAGACACGAGGTCTGAAAGACCCTGCGCAGGTGGAGAACCTGCAGGATCAGGCTCAGGTGATGTTGGGTCAACACACTAGGGGTCAGTACCCAGGACAGGCCGCGCGCTTTGGCAGGTTGCTGTTAATGTTACCACTTCTTCGGCAAGTCTCCACAGGTCGCATCGAGCAGATTTTCTTCCAACGGACCATTGGCAACACGCCCATGGAGAAGGTCCTTTGTGACATGTACAAGAACTGAACTGATCTCGTGATGTTGAACTGTGGTGGGGGAGACCACATTGAAACAGGATAAGGTCTGCTTGTACTGATTACGGTGATACTAAGTCTCTTCCGAAAGAAGAAATGTCAGTGTTTGGTTGTAAAGTGTTGAAGGACAATTTTATATTTAGCAGAGGTGAACTAATTAACAAAGGATTGGATACAGTTACAGAATTACAAACATTATACCTTTTACTCTAAATCGGATATTGCTGGGGTGTTTAATGAATAAGTTAGACGGAAAATGTAGCATGCGAGGAGCTGCGAAATGTATTTTACATTTTTATCAGAATACTCAATACGTATATCAGACGTATCTGGACACCGTAGCGTAAATGAGAATATAAAATTGATCTTAGAGAAGTAGTTAAGCCGTGGTTAAACAGTGTGGAAAATGGCGTGCTTCGGACTGGCAGACCAGGGTTCCTTTCCTGATAGGGACAGGAACCTTCCTGTTTGTCGTCACGCCCAGATCGGCTCTGGGGTATACCCAACCACGTATTCAACGAGTACAGAGGTTAAGGTGGCTTCAGTGTGAAGCTAAATACTCAGTTTCTTGTTCAGATGTCTGGAATGCATGGAGATTTACTTGCATTCCGCGTGATGCTGAAGTGTGAAGGAAATTCTACCCTACATCGTGAAGAAATGTTCTTTGTACGTGTGGGCTGGATTGGACTAATTCAGAATAAGATTCAGTGGCGAGCTCTTATAATTATAGAACTCTATAGCATGG